ACCCAGCTGTGACCACGGGAGCTGCAGCGTCCATAGAAAGGTGCTTCTCACCTGGCCCCAAGCTGCTGTGGTGAGAGAGGGCTGCATCCTGAACCCCTCCTCCCAGCCCCACCTCTGAGCAATGATTCAAATGAAAAAAACAAAAATGAATCGAGTTAAGGACCCGAGCAACCCCAGATAACTCTTCTGCAATTAAAATAAAGGTGTAGCCCAGTGTCTGAGCAGAGGGACAGGGCTAGAGCTGGAACCCTGGACATGCACTTTGGCTTTACCGGTACTCACTATTTTCCTGCCAAGGGAAGAATACTGTAATGACCCTGGGCCAACCCCTTGGATTGACCAGGCAAGTAGTCCTTGCAGCTTCAATGGGGCTGACACCTGGGAGTGATACATACAAAGTATGACTCCGTACAGACAGACTGAGGCAGAGTTTACTTCTGGAGGGCTTGAGGCACTTGTGCTCCTGTGTCTACATTGGCAGGATTCTTGTTTTGGTGAGGTGAGTCCATTTGGACCTCAAAGAGTCTGCGGATTATCCCCACCTGCTAGTGCAGAACACTCCAAGAGCTTGGAAAGGGATGTAAGGAAATTCTCCAATAAATGTTGCTCTATGTACAGGTTGATTCTCTTGAGTCCGGCACCAAGAGAATTTGCCAGACCACGGGAGGTCAATATTGTCTAGCAGCATCACCAACACTTCCATTGCTTATTGGGCTCTTAGAAGACATGGAGGGGTACATTAGGGCTAAAGAACAGCACAGAACACTGGGAGCCAGGGCTGGTGGGCAGCTGTAAACAGACTTTATGAGACTGAGGAAAACTTGGCCACATCCATGAAAAGTAGATATGCAACTAACTAAAATTATGCTGGACCAAGGATGTTGCCAGACCAGAGAGTGCCACGCTAGAGAGGTTCAACCTGTACCATGGTGTAGCACTGGATCAAACCAGAGGGCTGCTTTGTTTATGCAACACACTTTATGTAACAATCGTTGCATTGGTTTATGGAACACTCAAAAGCTAAAAGCACTGCCTGCTTGAAATCATTTATTTATGGGGTTTGCAACTAAATTTGCTACTGCAGGTGCATTTGTGGAAGCATTACAGAGCGTGGCTGCCAGCTAGAACATGGTCCAGCAGCCTGGGACGTGCATTCCCATGAAACTCTGTTAGATATATCATCTCTTGGATTTAGGTGTGTGGCAAATGCAATGGAAAACTTTTCTGGACTAGAGAGATTACCCTTCACAAACTGAATTACTGCTATTGCAGGTTGCACCCCCTGATCCGGCACCCTCGTGACTGGACCAGTCCTGGATGAGGGATTTTTCTGGACCAGGGGAGGTCATTTTTGGCCCCACTACCACCACCACCACTCCTCAGCCCTGGCTTGGCCACACTGCCAGCCCCACTGTCCTGCCAGCCTCACTGGGCTTCCCAGTCCTGCAGAGCAGCCCCCACTGCCACACAATGGACGCATGGTACTGCCGGGCAGCCCTGCTGTCATGCACCGGGTGCCTGGCTACTCACTTAGAGGGAGATCACAGAATCATAGAATTCCAGGGTTGGCAGAGCCCTCAGGAGTCATCAAGTCCAGCCCCCTGCCCAAAACAGGACCAACCCCAACTAAATCAACCCAGCCAGGGCTTTGTCAAGCTGGGACTTTAAAAACCTCTAGGGATGGAGATTCCATCCCCTCCCTAGGGAACCCATCCCATGCTTCACCACCCTCCTAGGGAAATAGTTTTTCCTAATATCCAACCTAGACCTCCCCCATTGTAACTTGAGACCATTGCTCCTTGTTCTGCCATCTGTCACTACTGTGAACAGCCTCTCTCCATCCTCTTAGGAACCCGCCTTCAGGAAGTTAAAGGCTGCTCTTAAATCCCCCCTCACTCGTCTCTTCTGCAGACTAAATCATTTTGGTTGACCTTCTCTGGACCCTCTCCAGTGCGTCCACATCCTTTCTGTAGTGGGGGGCCCAGAACTGGATGCAATACTCCAGATATGGCCTCAACAGTGCCCAAATAAAGGGGAATAATCATGTCTCTAGAATCATGTCTCTGCTGGAAAAGATCCTCTTAATGCACCCTAATATGCCATTTGCCTTCTTGGCTACAAGGACACACTGTTGACTCATATCCAGCTTCTCATCCACTGGAATCTCCAGGTCCTTTTCTGCCGAACTGCTACTTAGCCAGTTGGTCCCCAGCCTATACCAGTGTTTGGGATTCTTCCATCCCAAGGGCAGGACTCTGCATGTGTCCTTTTAGAACATCATCAGATTTCTTTTGGTCCAAACCTCCAATTTCTCTAGGTCACTCTGAACCCTATCTCTACCCTCCAACATATCTATGGGTATGTCTACACTACCACCCTAGTTCGAACTAGAGTGGTAATGTAGGCAACCGGAGTTGCAAATGAAGCCCAGGATTTGAATTTCCCGGGCTTCATTTGCATCTCACCCGGCCCCGCCATTTTTAAATGTCCGCTAGTGCGGACTCTGTGCCGGGGGGCTACACGCGGCACGGACTAGGTAGTTCGGACTAGGCTTCCTATTCCGTGAAACAAGGAGTAACGGTAGTTCGGAATAGGAAGCCTAGTCCGAACTACCTAGTCCGTGCCGCGTGTAGCCCCCCGGCACAGAGTCCGCACTAGCGGACATTTAAAAATGGCGGTGCCGGGGGAGATGCAAATGAAGCCCGGGAAATTCAAATCCCAGGCTTCATTTGCAACTCCGGTTGCCTACATTACCACTCTAGTTCGAACTAGGGTGGTAGTGTAGACATACCCTACCTCTCCCCCTAGCTTAGTGTCATCCACAAACTTGTGGAGGGTGCAATCCATCCCCTCATCCAGATTACTCCCTTGCATTCTCAGGTAATATATGTACACTGCTCCCTGGTCATCTGTCCAAGTTTCCACTTCTTGTCAGCTTCCTTTCTTTTTGTTAGCTCGCCATGGATTTCATTGCTAAACCAAGCTGGTTGCCTACCATATTTGCTTTTCTTACTGCATGCCTGGAACATATATTGTGGGGATTTCCACTTTTAGGTGCCCTACTTATGGACCAGTACCCCACTGTGCTAGGTGCTGTACAAACAGAACAAAAGCTCCTGTTGCAGGGGAACGGATGGGGCAGCTTGATGTGCCTAGCTCTTTGCTTCTGGGAGATGGGGGTACAGATCCTGCTTTGCTGGGCGTTCCCAAATGCATCTGTCTTGGTGTCTAGTCCTCAAACACAGAACCACAGCACGTGGCTATCAGAAGTACATACTGGCCCTGCTGCTATAGCAGTGGAACAGCCATCCTCACTGCAACACCCCTGGGCAGTAGGGCAGGGTGTTATCCTCATGGTACCGAGGGAAAACTGAGGCACTGCATGACTATGCCTCTCCTAAGTGGAATAATCCAGAATTCCAGAACGTGTCTCCGTAACTAATGATAGCCTAAACATCCAACAGGGTAACCTCTGTCTCTACCGGTCTCCTGCCTCAAGCCTTTTCAATCACGTGCTGAGCATGTTGCTCAGAAGGTAAAGCAGGGTTAATTGTGGAACATTTACACGTAGACACACCATTGGACCACTATCTTCAGCCTGAAGGAAATCTTTTTCTCACCTTTTGGTGATCAGCCCGAAGACCTTAAGACCATAGTGTTCAATATCCGTACATCACTCTTCACATATTAGCCCTACATCCGTTGTGCAGGCTCACACACAATCCCGTACCTAACATGGACACGGAACATAACATTCTTTAGTGAACTAATGTATAGATACCAGACTCAACAGGTCCCTGTAACCCATAGGCATACCTCTTGCCCTCTATCCATCAAGAGATCCTTGGGGGTATGCTCTTTCCTAGTATAACTCTACCTTCACTGGAGAGATACCATCAACATGCCAAAGATAGACAAGCAGTAACCGTGGCCGTATACTTTTCTCATAGAGCTGGAAGGGACCTTGAGAGGTCATCAAGTCCAGTCCCCTGCCTCATGGCAGGACCAAGTACCATCCCTGATAGATTTGACACAGATACTTAAATGGGCCCCTCAAGGACTGAGCTCACAATCCTGAGTTTAGCAGGCCAATGCTCAAACCACTGAGCTATTCCTCCCCTTCTTTCTTGCTGTAAAATGGGACCACTACGTACCTACCTCAAAGGTGGGTGAAACTGTTTCTTTAGGGGCATCTCTTCTGTTGGTCTAAACGGCCCAGTTGAAGTCAGAGGAGTTCTGACCATTTACCCACCATGGTGGAGATGCATTTTGTGTTTATCCTACGAGAGTGGCTCATGAAAATGTCCATGAAAAATGTTTTACAGAAACAAACAACTGTAGGAAAGTTTCTGTGAAAACTTGTTGTCCCTTTTCAAAAGGCTCTGAATGCTAGGTGCTCGTAGGAGAAGGGGTCCATTGGTGACAGGAACCCGGCGATGGTACATGCTGCCTCTGAAATATTAATGCATACTAGGTCCCTGTCGGAGGAGGCATGCCTTGTAATGATACCACCCATCATGGGACAGTTAATTGAATCAATGAAGTGAACAGCCCAGCCGCCCAGCATATGTTGTCTTTTTGACCCGTCTAGTCATTACTGCCGGATCCTTGTCACTCATCACTGCTTGATTACACTGCTTTGCCTAGGAGGGGATTTGATGCAAAGTGTCCAATGAGGGTCCAAGCTGGCTCCAAATCCAGCTTTGCAAAGCCCCAGATAAAAAAGACTTCCATTAATAAGACAAGAAAGGTTAGGACGAGAAGCATTACAGCAAATCTGGAGAGGTAAGGTGATAGTTTCGTCTGAAGCTTATGGAACAGATGGTCCCAGGTTTTGTATTGGTAATGCAAGAGCTCTTCTATTGTAGAAGTGTGGGCATTGCTTGTATGTAAGTACCAATGTGGCTTTATTTTATGGATACTAGTAACTTCTCTTGTAACATTGACTTGTAAATGTAATCAGAGGTTTGAACAGAGCTTTCCTGTAACTTCACATCCAGATATCCTTGCTGGCAGGCAAGCATGAAGCTCCAGAAATAGGGGTCGTACTTCTGCTAACTCTGAGAGTCTGATTTTTGAAATGCATGGACATGCATGGCTGGAACATGGGTTATGGAGATTTCCACTTTTGCAGCATGGCTAGTACAGCCATGTTTTAACAGCCTTTCTTACTCGCAGGTAAGAACCTGCAGTTTCCTGCTTTCAAACAAACAGCAAGCCACAAATAACTGAACCAAGATTGCAAAAATGACACCCCCCCCAAAAAAAAATTGCTTGGTAATGTACAGCCATTTATGTGTACAGCTGTAAAAGGCATGCAGCACAGTAAGGGAACTTTTGTCATGCAAAGATTGTGATCAGCTTTTTAAACTGTATACTCATGATCATTTAGATTTCAGCTTTTCTGAGATATTTATATTATCCCTTCTGCCAACCTCTCTGCATCAGCGTGAGACATATCTTTGCCTCCAGCCTGGCAAACTGCCGCCCCCTCCCCCTCAAAAAAGTGGTAGCAGCTGTTGGAAAGTATAGTCCATTTGTTTTATGATGCTGCTTTGGGAATATGATCCAGATCCCACATAAGAGAGAAAGAGAAGAACAGAAGGAAAGGGGACAGGGGGCACTTTAGAGGTTCTGGAAAATAACGAGCATATTTTAAGGTTAACATAGAGAGTTAAACCTTTCTATGAAAGTAGAAAGATCAAACATATGAATGTTGGATCTAGTTTGGGAGCCAAAATAACTGACTTTTCAGGAGATAAACTTGTGATTACTTAATTGGTTTTTAATGAAGCTATTCAGATTTATAGGACTTCATTCCATGATCCGACTTATGTTTTTCAACATATAATTAGGGTATTATAACAAAGCATTGAGACATAATTACAGAGTGACCGTGTATGATTTTTATTTTATTTTAGCATGTTACAGAAACTAGTCTGTCCAAGGCTAGCTGCTTTATAAATTCACAGCACTCACTTTTCGTCTCAGTTGTTTTGCAGTGCAAGAAAGAGAAAATAGCTGTGGAATAAGACTAAAAATGGATGCAGCGAATTGTCATGCTCAGTTACACGAAGGGAGGGTCTGCTGAGCGATTAACTGAAATGCAGATAAACATTATTTTGGCTGTCCATCCGTTGCTTATTTCAGTTCTTGCTAATGGGTGAGAACTTGGAATTTTTTTACAAAGTTGTATTTTAATGTCTTCAGAATCTAAACAAATTTCTGTTTATGATCCCGTGAACCGGCTGGAATACCAGGGAAAAGGGAAGTAAATTGAAATCCTAAGAATTCAGTATTAGGGCATGGTTTTGGGGGGCCTTGCTGTTTGCAGTTGACTAGCTTACGAAATAAAAAGGGAATGTGGCTTTAACTTTTACTTCCCTTTGTGTCGCAGGGGTAACATCCTACTTGTTTTGTCTTGGCTTTTCCAAACACTGGCTCACTGCCCTGTCTTCCTCCCCAGGTATCCATGAAGGAGGTTGGAGACGGGCTGCATGAACAGATGAACTGCATGATGGGCGCCCTGCAAGAGTTGAAACTCCTCCAGGTCCAGACAGCTTTGGAGCAGCTGGATATTTCAGAGCCTCGAAACAAGGTTCCAGGCATTGGCCAGCACCACTGCTGTCGAAATGGCCGAGAGACGCCCAGAGCCAGCAGGCAGAATGAGAGGTTGCTGGGAAGGAGATCTTTGGAAGATCGCGGCCCTACGGCATTTGCATGCTCCACCCCGGTGCCACAATCTGCCGGCCTGTTTGGCCCTGTTACTTTAGCAGAGAGCAGCCACTGTAGACATGTGGCTTATAGCAGAGACTATTATCCATCTTCTTCAGCCCTGACCACAGCAGAGTTCTGCCCGCTAGGGAAATTCGAGTCAGCTAGTTTGGGCACAGCTGGGAACCAGCTTCATAGAGACACGACCAGCACCCCTCAGACTTTGGCTGAGAGTAGATTGGGATGCAAAGGATGCCAGGGTTCTGATGAGGCCAACGACTGGACTTCCTCGCTAATGTCTCAGAGTCGGAACCGGCAGCCTCTGGTCTTAGGGGACAACATCTTTGCAGATTTGGTTGGGAACTGGCTGGATCTGCCGGAGCTGGATAAAAAGGGGGAGAAGAGTGAGACGTCCCTGTCCATCAGCCGGTCTCAGGAGTTCTACAGGAAGTTTTCCCTCACGGCCAACATCTTCAAAAAGTTCTTGAGGAGCGTCCGGCCGGACCGAGATAGACTCCTCAAGGAAAAACCAGGCTGGCTCCCAGCGGAAGACAGAGGGACTGAGATTTCAAAGAGATCCAAAAAGGTCAGCAAACAGAAGGGGACGTTTTACTTCCCCCTCCATGGGAACCTGCAGAATGCTCACAGCAAAATGGAGAGGTGCCCAAAGGCAGAAGCTAGTAGTGACAAATCCAAGCATTGTGCCAAGAAGTTCCATAGCACCGCAGACCACACCCCGTCCAGCTTCGACATTAACACAGCTGTATGGGTCTAAGTTCTTATAATCCTCTCCTCTGCCCAATGGTTCTGCTTCACGCCGAATACAAGCTGGAGCGCATATATGCCTGTACCGTATATACCCTAAAGGCCTTCCCTGCACTGGGGCATGAGAAACAGTGTATTCTGTAGTAGAGCAAGCTGGGTGCATCCTCCCCTCAAGCCTCTAAGAAACCTACATCGTCTGGGGCAGCAGCTGAATCAGGCCTGTTTGCGGAAGCTTTCCAGACCCGGCGCTTAGGAGAATGACCAGATTTCTCCACTGCTTTCAGGGCTTGTTGCACCTTGGCTATCCAGCCCCTTCACTGTGGGAACCTCTCTGGTCACAGGGACTTCATGTTTGCCAAAGCCATTCAGCTCATCTCTGGTTATGACCGCTGCAGTATAACACGTTCAATGTGCGTGTGTTCTGTATATATTTTTAAGTCTGCTCTCCCTTGTGTGCACTTAATACTGGCTTATAAACCAGGCAACTTGAACTTTGATCTCAAAGCACGTGATATTTAAATTGAAAAAAATAAGGCATGAATTTATACGAGAACCATTGCTGAATGCAGATGTTGTGTCCTCACCATCCCATTGCGTTTCAGCTTTCCTTTTTCGGAAGTGGTATCTTCAGCGTGTTCTTTGCCTGTCCTTTCCAGCCTGTTTAACTTCTAGGCTAAGTCACAGGCCCATCCATGGAATTTTGCAATGTCCCAAAATTCTTCACAAATTTAGTGTTACCCGTTATGGCCTTAAACCCAGATGCCACACTGACGTGTGAAGTTGCAGCTAACTTTGTGTTGGATTGTTCGGGGGGGAGGGGGTTGTGTATTTGTTGTTATGTACAGATTTAGTTTTGAAAAGGAGAGTTCTTCAGTGTTCCACTCTCCAAGAGTTACTAATAAAGCGATGTCACAGTCTTCCAAAGGGCAGTGAAATAGTTTACACAACATGTGGTATCTCTGTACTGGCCCTTCTGTGTCCAGCTTGCACACCAGTCTATGGGGAAAGTAAATGATATGGGAGTGACAGCCACAATTTAAAAAACAAGAAAAGGGCTACATTCTCAATTGGTGTAAACTGATGTAGCTCATTTGAAGCCAGTGAGTTACTCCAGCTTGTACCAGCTGAGTTGGGGTGTGGGTTCTGTGGCGTGGATTACTCAATTGGGAAAATGGGACTGAAGAGCAGACAAAACCATTTGCCACTAAAGAAGTTGTAAGTCATCTGGACCAGAAGGGGACGCTGGGTGGGGATTTGCTTACGACGGCCCCACGCCCCTTGGAATTTGCTCTCATTTTGGTCTGAAAGAGCCCAGATCTGATAATCCTCAACCACATTGCTAAGACAGTCGTTTTTCTTTGGCATTTGAAAATTGGAGGGGATGGGGGATTGTTCAGGTGAGAAAATGTTCACAAGGGAAGGGCCTTGGAATTCTTTGGTTTCTGGGTTGACTGAACATAATAAGAACAAAAGAACGGACATACTGAGTCAGACCAAAGGTCCATCTAGCCCAGGATCCTGTCCTCCGACAGCGGCCAATGCCAGGTGCCCCAGAGGGAATGAACAGAACAGAGAATCATCAAGTGATCCCCTGTCACCCATTCCCAGCTTCTAACAAACAGAAGCTAGAGACACCATTCCTACCCATCCTGGGTAATAGCCATTGATGGACCTAACCTCCATGAATTTATCTATTTTTTTAACCCTGTTAAAGTCCTGGTCTTCACCACATCCTCTGGCAAGGAGTTCCACAGGTTGACTGTGCACTGAGTGAAGAAATACTTCCTTTTGCTTGTTTAAAACCTGCTGCCCATTAATTTCATTTGGTGACCCCTAGTTCTTATATTATGGGAGTAAATAAATAACTTTTCCTTACTCACTTTCTCCATACCTGTCATGACTTCATAGACTTTTATCCTATCTCCCCTTAGTCTCCTCTTTTCTAAACTGAAAAGTCCCCGTCTTTTTAATCTCTCTTCATATGGGACCCGTTCCAAACCCCTCATCATTTTTGTTGCCCTTTTCTGAAACTTTTCCAGTGCCAAGGTATCTTTTTGGAGATGAGGTGATCATCTGCATGCAGTATTCAAGATGTGGGCGTACCATGGATTTAAACAGAGGCAATAAGATATTCTCCATCTTATTCTCTATTCCTTTTTTGTAATGATTCCTAACATTCTGTTGTGACTTGGCGTGGGTTATATCGAACCACCACTGTATGTAGCGTACATTGTTAAATTCTGCCAAGGGCGCCTGCTTGCCTTTTGTAGGATTCCTGTAAAGCAAAATAGAGAAACGAGTCCAGTGAATCTGGCTCGCAAACAAATGTTGTGCAGTCAAGCTGCCAGGCTGCTCAGTCTGTACTGTGTGATATGGAACGTGCCAGATTTACAGCCCTGGAGAGTGAAACTCACTCACTCCACATGAGCAGGGGCCATGTAAAGCCCTCCCACGCTCCAGCTCCTTCTCACTCCTCTCCTGCAGAGGCCTGGCAGACAGTAGAGTTTCTATTTACTTTGGCTTCTGTGCCATGCTCCCCTCTGCCCCTAGCTTTCTGAAGAGTTCAAGATGCTCAGGATTGGGCCTCCTTTCCCTGCTTCTCGCTGAGTGTCTTCTGCAGGGTTTGCTGCAGTGTGCAGCAACTGGTTCATTTGTTAATATTGGGGCGGGATGGGGAAGACTTCCACTGTGTATTGCTGCCTCTGCATTTGTACGGCCTGTGGCTTTCGCCACGCAATTCTTGTGACTGGTGCAAGGTTATGCTAGAATCATAGAACACTAGAACTGGAAGGGACCTTGGGAGGTCATCAGGTCCAGTCCCCTGCCCTCGCAGCAGGACCAAGCACCGTTTAGACCATCCCTGACAGATGGTTATATAACCTAATCAACCTGTGGAACTCCTTGCCAGAGGATACGGTGAAGGCTAGAACTTTAACAGGGTTCAAAAAGAGCTAGATAGATTCATGGAGGTTAGGTCCATCAATGGCTATTAGCCAGGATGGGTAGGAATAGTGTCACTAGCCTCTGTTGTCTGGAAGTGGGAGACAGGGGAGGGATCACGTAAAGATTACCTGTTGTGTCCCCTCTCTCTGGACCCAGACCCAGTCTGGCTGTTCTTATGTTCTTAACGTGCTCTTAAATATCTCCAGGGATGGAGATTCCACAACCTCCCCAGGCAACTTATTCCAGTGACAGGAAGTTTTTCCTTATGTCCAACTTGAACCTCTCTTGCTGCAATTTAAGCCCATTGCTTCTTGTCTTGCTAAATCGTATGCAGCTCTCACCCGGTTTGGGAATGGGAGAGGAGACTGTTAATGTCACTGTTTTATTCTCACAGTCCTGTTCCTGCTCTAACTCTCGAAGGCAAAGAGGCTGGTGGGCAGAGGCATGAAGAGAGAGAGAGAGAGAGAGAGAGAACACCTTTTTTTTTTTTTTTTTTTTTTTTGCAAAGGAATTAAATATAGGCGCAAGACAAGCATTGCTTTTGCCCATACAAGGAACGAAGAATTGGTCAGCATCTGGAATTTACACTGGGCACCTTTTCAGGAGCTTCAGTAACAGGCAGGCAGTAAGTTCCCGTCCTCCCAAGATCGGGGGTGGGTTGCCTTTTCTCCCTCTCATGTCTTTGAATGTTAAGAGGCTGCTTTTTTAACTTACGTTGCTATAGAACGCCAGTCCACGTGTGCTGCCCTGATGCCTCCCTGGAGGCGGGGGAGAGAAGGGGGGTTGAAAATGAAATCACCATAAACAGTGTCATATCAGACACCCATCCTGCCTACCAGCTGCCTCCTCTGCACAGGCTGCTACAGTCCCTGCCTTTGCTGGCTAATATGCTGTTCACTGGTGCCCTGAGTGGATACAAAATTTGTATCCACATCCATAGCCGCAAAAATGAGCCATGGATCTCCGCATCCGCAGATATAAAGTGGCTATCCGCACATTTGCAAGGCTCTAGATACAACACCTGTACCCGCCTCTGCCAAAGTGAGCCACAGGTATCTCCATCCACATATGCGGCTGCACAGACGATACGTGCGGATTTGTGGGGCTCTGCTTTTCCCCTCACCCTGCTCCCTACCCCAGAACCACCCCCCTGCAGAAAGCCAAGGGCTCGACTCTTCCCCCCACTGGTGCTGTGCAAAGCTGACCCGAACTGCCTTCAATGGCCTGACCCCTGTTTCCCAGCATGCCTCTCTGCCAGAGCAGGGTCTCCTGAGCATTAACCACAGCGCCACAGGCCCAGCAGCTGCCCTCTCCTGCACTCGGCTCTGTTGGTTCCACGTTGCTGCAGGGGAGCCCAGCCGCACGCCCGGGAAAAGAGGAGTGTAGCCAGGGCCGGCCTAAGGGAAAATGGCACCCTGGGCCAACTTGTGTTTGGGTGCCTCTGACCCCTGTAGGCACCGCACCACCCATTTCTCCTGGCATCCATGGGATCCCCAGCTCGTACGCCCCCATCCTGTGCCCCCTTTGCCACTAACCCCTGAACTGTGCCCGCTTTGCCCCAACCTCTTCACAGTGCCCCCCCGTATCCCAGCCCCTGTACTTTCCTCCCACCTGTGCCCCCAGCCCTGCACTGCCAGCCTGCCCAGCCACACTGCCCCCCTTCCTAGTACTCGCCACCCTCCTGGCCTAGCAAGACCCAAGCCCAGTTGCCCCTCACCCTCTGGCTACGGCGCCCTGGGCACGGGCCCAGTTTGCCCAGCCCTCAGGCTGGCCTGGAGTGCAGCCCTACCATGCAGGGAGAAGTACATCAGAGAAGGGTCCTTTGCAGCGCCTTTGCCACCATGCCCTGCCAAGATATTCTTATTGGATGGTGTGGATTAGAATAACCCGCTGCTGCGATTTAAAGGGCCATGCGGTGGACGCTGGCCCCAGCCTGAGAACCACACGCCGTCTCCCGTGGATCACCCGCCAGGCGGAAGATATCACCGCCGTGGGTGGGAGAGGCACTTTGCCAGCTCCTTGTCCCAAAATGGTTGGTTTCTCAATAGGCCCCTCCATGGGAACGATTCTGATCTCAGTGCCTGGAGGTTTAAGACGGGCACTGCCTTCTGGCACCCAACGGGAGCCCGGCACAGAAATCCCCTCTCAGCCGAGGCCAAGGCAGCTGTCTCCCGACTGGCTGATGAGAGACGGGGCCCAAATTCAAACCTCTCACTCAAGGGGCTGCTTCCCTGGCCAAGCGCATCATTCGGGCAGCCTAAGGCTCCGTGGGTGAGAGGGATGGGACAGCGGAAAAGGGCGAAAGCCGGCGTGCAGAATAAACACGTAGGCAATAGAAATGGAGATGTTTTCTGGGCTCTGCTTCTGAATCCCCCTCCCTCTGCTCCGTGGAAAGGTCCTGGCTCAGCCGGCATGTTCGCACGTGACCCAGGGACACAGGGTAGGCGCTGCAGATGCTCCACAACTGGGATTTGTCAATAAGGTCATAGGAATGGACTTTGCCGTGACACACAGTCCCTCGCAAGTGCTTAAGCCCCCAGAACGACAGCTGTCGGCAGCGCTGCTTCTCTCCCAGCTGACGGGCTCTCTGACAAAGCAGCCAACTGGAACGCCTCTTGGGAACAGGGCCTTTGGCCTGGCCCGCGCTTCCCTGACAGCTGCACTAAATGCATCACTCCAGTGCTTCTTTCACGTGAGGAGGGGAAGCGAAAAATTGCGGGCGCGCCACATTCGCTGGCCTCAGGCGCTGTTCACAGCCACGAAGCACCCGCCCATGAGCGTCTCCCCACTCCACGAATGGGGCATGTGGGGAAGGGACAGTCCTTGTACCTCCTGCAGGTCATGTCTCTTGCCCGTGCTGGGACTTCCCCTGTCTGACTGCTCTCTCTGAGGCCAAAGGGTGTTTGTTGCTGACTTCAGCGGGAGCAAATTCAGGCCCGTAGTTCTGCCATCAGGCTCAGGGTACTTCTGGTGC